ACTTGTGCGCTTGTTTTGTGTAGTAATTAAAGCACCAGGCTAGAATGTGGGAGACTGGGAGTTCCAGTTCTGCCTTAGCATAAAACCAACTGGGTGACCAGACAGGGACAGACTATTTAAGAGTTAAAGTTTAAAGCAATTCAAAGACCTTAGAACTATATTCTAAAATAACAGTAATATGATAGTTCTGGAGTCATAATTCTGTAGATAAGAACTATGAATAGATACATCTAAGATTCTCACAATAGCATTAACCAGCCTGGTCAATGACAAAGGGTAAAAATGGCAAGTAGCTGGCATCTCACACATAATGGAAAAGGGTGTCAGCAGAGCTCTTGCACATGTAAGGAGAAATGAATAAAACTTAAATTTATTCAGATAATGGCTTTGTATTAACTTCAATTAGGCTTACATCATCTCACATATATACAGGTAGTCCTCAACTTACGACCACAGTTGAGCCCAAAATTTCTGTTGCTAAGCAAAACAGTTAAGTGTGTTTTACCCCATTTTACAACCTTTCTTGCCATAGTTAAGTGAATCAATGCAGTTGTTAAGTTACTAGTACAGCTGTTAAGTGAATCTGGCTTTCCCATTGACTTTGTTTATCAGAAGGTCAGAAAAAGTGACCACAAGACCTCAGGACACCGTCATAAATATGAGCCAGTTGACAAGTGTTTGGATTTTGACCACATGGCCATGGGGATTCTGCAACAGTCATAAGTGTGAAAAATGGTCATGTTACTTTTTTCAGTGTTGTTGTAACTTCAATCAGTCACTAAATGAACTGTTGTAAGTTGAGGACTACCTAAACATGCTAACTTCTATTAAATTCTGATACATTAAATGTTTTGTTCTGAATCTAAAAGAAACCTCCTGCATTACTGTAGTTCAGCTAAACCATTCTGGGAGGACTAAGCTTTGGAAGAAATGAAATCCAAAGGTTTTGTTTTTTTGTTTTAGCCAAAAGAAAATCTCCAGTGATCTCAGAGAGATAAGGTGAGTAGAACAAAGGTAGCACATCTCACTCCTTTTCCACTCAGCAGCTCCCAGACCAGCATATCCATCCCCATGATCTTCTCTTCCCTCTCCTAAAGCCCTATTTTCCAGACTCTTCCCCACTCTTAACCCTCCCCTCCCCAAATTCTTTGGCCTGGAAGAACCAAGTTTTGCTCCATCTCCAGAACGACAGTCTGCTTCATTTTGGATGGCTAAAATGCATGTTTGGGCACAGAATGATTCATGTAAAACCTTGTTTCTTTGAAATTTTAAGTCACCCCATAAAGACTTGAGGATTCACTGTAGCACAAACCTCTTCATTCATGTACTCAGTGTAAGTGTGGAAATTTAAGAAATAGATAGCTAAATAAAAAAGAAGGAAATAAATCTAACTAGATATTTTTTCTTTAATCTGTATAAATTAAACATATTTGTTATCTATAACATTATTAGTAATATTAATTGCCCTTCCCTAGCAGCCTTCTTTCCTATTACCTTCCCTTCCTTTGCAGCGAAGAGAAAACCTGCTTGCTTCTTCTAAAAAATAGAAAATTTGAAAGGAGAGATTTTCCTCTCTAGGACTAGAAGGAGTCTTAAGTCCTCACTTCTAATCCTTTCCATTCAGTTCCCTCTGAATTGAATAGGAAAATCAGTTCAGTTCCATTTCTTGCCTCCAGATTAGGGATTTTTTTTTAAACTCTTAACATGTCCTGACATAAATGTACTATGAAACTGCAAGATACTTTTCATTTTGTTAAACTTCTGCCAATCATGCATTAGGTCACATACATTTCCCAATTTTTTTTTGAGTAATCTGATTATGTCAGACAATAATAATATTTAACTTAAAAATTCTTCCTGGCTAGACTTGGCAAGGAAAAACAATCTGCCATATCATTACCTACAATATTTTCCACCACTAATCATTTTTTCTTACCTAAGAAAACTAGCATCATAATTGTAAACATTAGCAAAAATATATATGTAACAGTAATTCCAAGTCAGCTAATAGAACTTAAGACCAAAATCATTTCTAATTGCTGTTATTTCTAGTTATTGACACGTTGGAAAATGGTGAAGTGATACAGTTCAAACTACATTTAAATTTGATATGAACCATTTAGTTTGAGTTTAAACACAACAGACATTTCTTAAACTATTACAAGGCAATCAATCTAACTAGGAGTCCATTATCTCAAACTTTAAAGTTTCACTGGAGTGTGCATTTCAGATAAACAGAACCGGTAAAACTTCTTTTTCATCATCCATCATAGTTACAGGTTAGAAATACTCACTGTGACTCAAATGAACTACTCGTTTCCGAAGTTTTTTTTTTTTTAAGTTGTAATTATTACCTGCTATTCTCATGTTTATCTTCCCTCTATTACTGGCACAACTGCATTTAACCAGCTACCTGGAAAAGAAGGAATAACATCTTTCAACCAGAGCAAAATAAGGAAGGAGATGCTTTCATTCATCCATCTCACCGAAAAAGCATGTAGTCTCTAAAATGCAATGATAATAGCAATGATATAATCTTTGTACCCAAAATACACAAGGAAAATAAAGGACAGACACTTCAAGCGTTAACTAGACCTTTTAGTTTTGATATATATTTTCATCCCATAAACCTACTTTTTTGTGATATTATGGAACATTAAAAATAGAAACTACAGGTAGTCCTTGACTTAAGACTATTCATTTAGCAACTATTTGAAGTTAAAACAGCACTGAAAAAAGTGACTTTCAACCAGTCCTTGCGCTTAAAACCATCGCATCATACTCAATGTGATCCAAATTTGGTAACTAGCATATATTTATGATGGCTGCAGTGCCCTGGAGTCACTGATTACCACTTGAGACCTGCCCAGCCAGCTACTGACAGACAAATCAATTGGGAAGCTGAATGCACTTAATGACCATGTGATTCACTTAACAACTGCAGTATTCGCTTAACAACCGTGGCAAAAAAGTTCATAAAATTGGGCACAGTTCACTTAATAATCACTTTACTTAGTTAACAGAAACTCTGGTCCTACTTGTGGTTGTAAAGTTGAGTAATACTTAAACAAGATACATAACATATGACAGAAATGCATTTATCAACATAACTACGATATTATTTTATTTCTATCTTAGTGGAATCATGAATATGCACTATGTATTTCTCTACATCATTCAGTTGCAAACTGATGCACATGGTATAAATTAAGAAACAGCAAGTATACTATGTTCATTTGCACACAATCAGCTACAATTTCACTCTGAAAGAATGATAATTATACTATCCAAGAAATAAAAAAAATGCAAAGAACTGCATAATTAGATTGCAAGCTAAAACTCTTTAATCAGCTTTCAGTTCTCAAAGATTTTCCAAAAACA